CCGAGCCGCCCGCCTGCAAGCTGGAGGATTTGGAGACCCTGGCGACTGTGGGTGAGTGAGCGGGGGAGCCGGGGCGCAGCCCCTGTGCGGTCGGGACGAACAAAGGCGCCGCGTCCCCTGCCCAAGTACCCAGCGGCCAGATGGGGTGCGGGCACTCTGACCACGCGCCCCGAGCACCAGCTGTTGGCTCCGCAGCTGGCGGTGGCACCGCTTTGCCCCTTCGCAAAGCGGAGCTCTGTCCCTTTGCTGTCCCGAGTGAGCGGGGGAGCCGGGGCGCAGCCCCTGTGCGGTCGGGACGAACAAAGGCGCCGCGTCCCCTGCCCAAGTACCCAGCGGCCAGATGGGGTGCGGGCACTCTGACCACGCGCCCCGAGCACCAGCTGTTGGCTCCGCAGCTGGCGGTGGCACCGCTTTGCCCCTTCGCAAAGCGGAGCTCTGTCCCTTTGCTGTCCCGGGTGCCTTTCCCTGGCTGGTCCCCAGGGGCATCTTCCATGCCCGGCTTCCGCTTGGCCCTGCTCCTCTCCAGTGGTTTTCAGAAGACTTTAGTGCCTGCTGGGTATTTCCTGAGCGTTTCGAGGTGCTGTATCCGAAACAGCGGAGTTCAGCTCTGTAAATGTCAGTGCAATGGCTGGCAGGTGGCACCCACTAAGAAACCTATTGACTCTATGGAAAATTGCGATATCTTGTGTGCCTATAGTAAGTGTCTTGCTCGGTATCTATATGAAACACAAGTTAAGCCTTTTTTTTTCATTTTTTGCCAGTTTATGCGTTTGTCTGTCGCAGTACAGTATATTGCTTTGAACTTGAGCCTCCTTTGAAAGCTGGTTTCACTTGACCCATTTTTGAATGAAAGTTGTAGTTCGCATGGCTTGGTGCATTATTGTGGTTGTAACTTTTCTCATTTAATTTTTGTTCCAATCTAACATTGCACCGTTCCTACTCCTCTGCATGCATCCAGCTGAGCATTGTAGGCACTACAAGTATGCATACAAGTTATGTCCAGACTGTCTGAGAACAGTTTTGAATATGGTTTTAAAAAAAGAGAAGTGAGGTGAGCTGGATCATTGCTCACTGCATAATCATGTGTGAGTCACAAGTGAACCAGTTAATAATGTGATTTTGGGCCTGCTTGTGGGGATGAGGCAATCAGCATTCAATGCTATACATTATTTTGGTAATACTATTTTATGTGGCTTTGTCTTAGCCCATTCATCAAAGTCATGTTAAAATACATTCATAGTTTAAATGAAGTTTTTGGGGCACTGAGGAGGGCAGGTTAACTAACAGCCAATTAAATATAATTCACAATCTGATCCACAATGCCCTCTTGGTAACTAGTGTAAAAGGGCTTTGTACTGAACGGAATTGTGGAAGATGGTAAAGTAGCATCTTTTGATTTCTTGCACACCTTACATTGATCTCCATTTTTATGAGAACCAAAGCATTCCAGTTTTGTGTTTAAATAGTATCCTTCATTGCAGCATTTACACTCTGTATACATCTACAGTAATTTGAATGGTATTTGCATCTAGTCTGATATCAGCTAAGTGACTCCAAGAAAATGTGCATGTGTAAATCTGTATGTTCTTGTATTAGGTTCAAATGGTTGCATATGCATCCATAACAAACATTTATTTATACTTTCCAGTGCAATGCCAAAAAGGGATGATTATTTGGATAATAAAAGAAACAAATCGGTGTAATAAAATAAGTCAGGGTTCTGTAGAGAATGCTGATGGAGAAGAGGTGTAAAGAAGAGTGTTTCTCTTCAAAAACTTTTACCTGCCATCTGAGAACGGAAGGCACAGTGGTCCTGGTTTGGGGGGGAGGAGGAAGAAAGTAGGAGCAGCCGGCTGCTGTTTAGCAGTGCATGGACCATGCATTTATATCTTTTTTTTACCTGTGTCCACTTTTGCTGTTGCTTATATTGCCAGAAGTTCTCCTGTTGGCATAATAGCGTCTCTGATGAAGCACAGATGCAGAAACTCCAAAACTTGAGAGAGGACTGTTTAAATCAGTTGGTATGAAGACTCCTGTCTAAAAAAGGAAGTTGAGATGATTTAACTTAAACTGATTTTAAAACTGATTTTGATTAAACAAGTGCAAAAAATCATGGGCATTCAGTTTAAACTTGTTCTCTATCTTGCTAAAGAAATATGATCCAGGTTAACATTATTTTGTGTATCCCATGCGGTTTTTTAAGTTGCTTTAACTAGATAGTCATATCTTTTCCCCCTTTCCCTTACCCAAGCATCAGCAGAGTGAAATTAAAAAAATACTGAGGTAAGCTTGGACATATCAGATATGGTGAAAAAAGTTGCTTTTAAACAAATCCCCATGAAGTGCTCTAAATTAAAATTTGTGGTATGATGAAGCTGCATGTTATAAATAACTCCAGACTTTTATTTAATTGCATAATCATGGAAAAATACAAAAACAACCCCTCAAACAAAACACAGGGGCAAAAATCTCTTATTTTACCATTGTACGAATTCTGCTTCTGTACAAAGCATTCTAGTAATTTCTTGCATAGGTGTAGTCTGTTGAATAACAGCTATTGTTCTGATTTAATAGTTATGCATACAATTTTTTGATTAATTTTAGTGGAAGTTCTTTTTAAAGGAACCAAAATGTGTAACAGCTTTTTCTTAACTTCAAACTATTAAGGTCTCTTAAATAGATAATGAAAAAAAGATATTGGCTGTCTGCTCAACAATCCAATCATAACATCACTTTGGATAATGAATTTTTAAAGGACGACTTTAAAAAAAAAAAAGTTCTACCCACTCTCAAAGGGAAGTTGATAGTTTCTTCTGTGCTGTTACTTGGCAAATACACTTCAGTTCTATAGGTTTCAGAAGAAGAAAAAAGTGATATAATTTAGTTGCTGTAGAGACTTGAATAAATTGTTGCATTCTCACATCTTCAATACAAAGCATCTGTGTTTAAATTGAAGTGGCTTAGTTCTTATTATCTCTTGTTCTGTCCTTTGTTCCTTTTCTTCCTTCCTTCTCTCTCTCCCACAAATTGACACCTGTCCTTGAACAATCTACTGTGATCCAACTGAAGTTTGCATGAAAATGTCCAGATGTGCTTGTGTCCTTCTATTGCTCCTGCAATACTTTGTCTGGAATAATCCCACTGTAATTGAAGAAACGTTATTGGTAGGTTAAGGAGAGAGACATCACACCTTGCATGGCCAGAAGAAGGGGACTTATGGAAAAGGGTCCTTGTGGAAAACAAAAGGGAGAAATGAAATCTCTTCTCTCCTCAAAAGGAAAAGAAGTCCCAAAAGAGAAGAGTTTGGAGAAGAATAGGAGCATGTGATGATTAAAGCGTGCACAGACTGGAAATTCAGGATTGAGACAGGATAGCAGAAATATTGTAAGATCTGCGGTATTGGTTCAGCGCAGTGTTACTTACTAATATTAAATCTACTTTGACTGCTAATCTTATTACAGTAGTTAACTTAACTGGGTTGTGGCAAATTCAGACTTCTTTCCCCATCATGCTTTGACTTGACTGTATCTGCAAATATGTGCAGCTAAGGAAGTTCAAAGTTAAATTAATCCCCATAGCAGTTACTCTTATAAATTTATGCTAAAGGAGGTCATTGCAAGGTTAATTGAATCTCCATGTCCTAGAATGGAAGAAAACATAAGTGGAATATTGGGGTAGACTTGTTCACAGTAAGACCTAGGGAATAGTTTCCCAAGAGAAAACACTGAAGAATAAACTAGGGAATATCCCTGCATTGCAGTGTCTTCTGAATCTCTGACTTAAGCAGTTAGGCATGTGCTATGGTTGTCAACAAAGCTACACAAAAGTAGTGATGTGAATACCTGAATAATCTCTGATCCAGCTTCTACTGATGTTACAGACATATGTAAAATATAACAGTTAAGATAACTCCTTCCCTTTACAAATAAAACATGAGAGTAACAGGGAGGTGTATCATTGCAGGATTCTTCCACCACACAGTAGCAAGTCACAACTAGAATTTGGGAGGATGGACAGTTTATACTTAAACTGACACACAGATGGAATTCAGTTGGAACAGATAATTTTGTAAATAATTCAGCACCAAGGAAGTCATTGACTTATTGATTACTAGCAAATATGGAGAGACAGAGTCCTGCCATCCAAACTAACCTTTCATTTCCCCAGTCTCTGAATCTGCTTTCCTTTCAGAGCCATAAGACATGAGAACAAATCAATTCTCATTCAAGGCTAGTTGTGAAAGGAGTGGAAAGGGACAGTGGGCAGTGCAATTGATGTATGTGTTTAGTTTGGTGTTGGAGTGGTAAGCCAGGTACAGCAACTAAGCATTAATTTTAATGAGATTCAAGACAGGACCTGTGTTCCTACTGTAAAGGGTTGTCTACACTAGACATGTACTATGCTGGTATAAACAGAGCTGTTCCACCCCCTATCATGTATGCAGTTATATTTGTATAAAGGTGTTTATACCAGTCTAGCTAATTCTGTGCAAGAAGGGGAATAGTTACTAGTATAACTATGTTCACATTTGGGCTTTTATTGGTATACAGGCAGTCCACGGGTTACGTACAAGATAGGGACTGTAGGTTTGTTCTTAAGTTGAATCGGTATGTAAGTCGGAACTGGCATCAGCCGCTGCTGAAACTGATCAGTTTCAA